AATGCAAGATTAGGTCCTAAAGCATGTGGGCATACCATTTTAATGCTTAAAATTAGAATTATCTTTGTTCGTCAACCTTCAGAAGTAACATATTATTCAAATAATTTTCAGAAAAAGGTATTAAAAAGTAAAACTGAATAAAAAATGCTTTAATTTTAAACCTAACCTAGCTTTACACTTTAAATGCTTAAAATTATGGTAAAAAATAGATTTTATGTAACGTCAACCTTTGACCAAAAACAACTTACTCTACTAATATGTATAATAAGTCTGAAAAAGAAGAGACCCGTAAGTTTATTGTAATCGAAAAGAACAAAAAGAAGACTCGAACCGTTCCACGATCGTTTGGTCGAGTCTTGTTCTGTCAGGTCAAAGTTCAGTCTGCGCGCTTACTCTCCGTCTTTGAGAACAAGGAACAGAGAATTCTCTCTGTGAGCAAATATAAAGTGAAACTCAGACTGGTGTTTAGTTTGTTGATGATACAACTGTATCCTTAACCATATCCATGAATATCACCGGCTGTGTTTTCTAGGCGGTGAGTTTGCTAGTTTTTCGCTGTTGTGTCTGTTAGCATTGCTAGCCTCGTTAGCCGCTTTGGTGGACTGATGACCGAATCCAGAGTTAATTAGTCCAATTTTGAAGCTAACAGGGGGAGACTATTTTAAAGTGTGTCGCGGTAAATCCAGGCGTGCAGCCATGCAGGACCTACTGGCTAACGTGGACCACATCAAGTTTGACCTGGAGATCGCCGTGGAGCAACAGCATGGAGCGCAGCCTCTTCCTTTCCCTGGCATGGACAGTAAGTGCTGCGCTGCTGGTTGCTACCCACTTACCACAGATAGCTATCCTAAGATGCATTGTTCCTGGTTGTGTGACCTGCATCTGATTATGGTGATCCTGATGGTATTGTTTTTGTGTCTGTAGAATCCGGTTCTGCTGTGTGCGAGTTCTTCATGAGAGCAGCGTGTGTAAAAGGTAAACAGGAATAAGCAGTGCTCGATGTACTACGTCAGACCAAATGACAAATGCACATAGTTGTCAAACATCATTATTCTCCCCAGGACCACGGGATAATGCACTTTAAATCACCTTCTCATTAAAGTTGAAATGAACTGTTTTGTGATTGTGCTGTTAGGTGGGATGTGTCCGTTTCGTCACATCAGTGGAGAGAAGACAGTTGTCTGTAAGCACTGGCTGAGAGGACTGTGTAAAAAAGGGGACCAGTGCGAGTTTCTCCATGAATACGACATGACCAAGATGCCTGAATGTTACTTCTACTCCAAGTTTGGTTCGTTGACATTCTCCGAATATAACTGATTATTTTATGATCTGTTTTTACATTTTTATGTATATATTTTTTCTTTGACCTTCACAGGTGAGTGTAGCAACAAGGAATGTCCGTTCCTGCACATCGATCCAGAGTCTAAGATAAAAGACTGTCCCTGGTATGACAGAGGCTTCTGCAAACATGGTGAGTTCAAGTCTATGAAGATTCTCAGTCATCCAGGTCATGGTCAAGATTGAAAGTTCTGTTAGGCAACTGGACGTGAATTTTCTAAAAGAAGACGTTTCACCTCTCTAACAGAACTTTCAAACATGTTGAGTTCAAGAAATTTACAAAAGCTGATGGAGTTTCTTGGAGTGAATGATTAAACGCAGATTTGAACAGACCACTTTCCAATCCTTACATTGTTATATTCTTGTTTTTTCTCTTTAAGGTCCTGACTGCAGACACAGGCACACGAGACGAGTGATCTGTGTGAATTATCTGGTGGGATTTTGTCCAGAAGGGAAATCTTGTAAATTTATGCAGTATGTTATTCTATTTATTTGATGTCTATTTGAGCTTTGAGCTCAAGTTGCTACTGAAATTACAACAGATTACAGTATTTCTCCTGGCAGTTACAAAGATTTAAAAATGAGATGTTTTTCTGCAGCCCTCGTTTTGAGTTACCAATGGGAGCATCTGAACAACCTCCTCTACCACAGCAGAACATGAACCAAACCAAGGTGAGGGGACAAAAAAAAATATATATATATATACTGTACAACCTTATTTACTATTGGAGTCACATTTTTTTGTACCTGCTTCCTGTCGCAGCCTGTGCCCATCCTCGGTCGGTCGTCGGTCTCTTTAATTCAGTTGACCAACTCCAGTCCGGCCCAGCGGCAGCAGAATCACTCAGGAGGTGTTTTTCCACAGAACAACATGATGGGCCAGAGAGGACCTCGTCCACTGGACCAGGTCACCTGCTACAAGGTAAGTCATCAAAGTTTAAGCAAAATCCAAGTAACATCACATTACTATGGTTAAAGGGAGATTTATTTTCACATCCCTGTGGCAGTAAGAATTTTTAAATTTTAAATTTTTTGTCATCATTGTCTTCAGTGTGGAGAGAAGGGCCACTATGCCAACAAATGCACAAAAGGTCACTTGGCCTTCCTCAGCGGTCAGTAACCTTCAGCTCAGCGGTCCAGACACCACAGCAGTTCCATAGTCCACCCTCGAGGTGGAGCAGAGGAGACAGAACAGCAGCTCAGCTCCAAGGGGTGATGTTAAAGACTGGTGCCATTTACAGTGGGTTTCCTGAGAAGACTCTGAGGTCATAACCTCTTCGTTTGTGGTTGAGTTAAAAAAAGAAAAAAAAGAAAGAAAAAAAACTGAACTGTGAAGAACCTTTGTGGCATCAGCGAGATGTCACAGCCATGGTTAAGTCTTTTGTCTCAGTAGATGCAACTCTGTAAAATATTGTTTGTATACTCTTTTCCAGTTCATGTGACCATGCTGCAAATCTGGTCATTCTAAATTTGTATAAAAAAAAAAAGAAAGAAAAAAATCTGAGCTGGGCAGGAAGTTCCTCTAATGACATTTCTACTTTAAACTACTGAAACCTTCATCAATTTAAGGTACACTGTAAAAGACAAACATTTATATTCAACTTCTGTTTGATTCATCATTAGTTTACTGCAGATTTTACATGGATACACTTACCTGTAGGTAAAGGTGTTGTCTGTTATTCTTTCAGGAACATCAGAAATGGTTCTTTATCAGTTACAAATTTATGTTCAACAGTCACTATACAAGGTGTAAATAAATGTTCATGTTAAACTGACATTAACTTTTTAACTTTTATTTACTGACCACTGTTCAAACCAGTATTGTCTCAGTAGTGAACTATGTTCAGAATAATGTCCACATTTCTGATACCGCGTCAGCATAACGAGGCGGAGGGAAAATTTCTGTTATCTAATGTGAGTTGACATTTGAAAATCAGAAAACGGAGATTAGATTTGTATTCGATTGGTTCTAAAAATCAGAGTTGCTTCAGCCTCTTGTTCTGAACATAAAAAGTTTAAACAATGTAAAAAGTACAAGAGATGGATATAAACCTTTTATATTGTTTATTGGTCATGACAGTCAAACAACAGCTGAATAGAACAAGGAGCAAAGAGATCCATTTCAACCCATGACGATTGCGTCGGTGTTGAGCTCAATGGTACTTCCTCCAACGATCGTGTTCTAGAAGAAACAGAAGTGGAAGTTTTTTTTTTTGACTGTTTTGTTTTTCATTGTCTGAGTTGTTGAATAAACTTGTACATTGGTCTCATTATGTTTGGTAAATGCTGGAACAACACACAATAAAGGAGAATGTCTTACTGATGTGATCGTATTCCCACACGTAGCTCAATGCCACGTAACCTGTCAGAATCATAGCTATTCCACCGATGCCGCCCTTCTTCACGTAAATGTACTTGTTCAGGTATCTGTCCCGGCCTAAAAGAGCAAAAGATGGGCTGGATGAGATAGAATCAATCACAAAATAAGTGATGAAAACTGATGAAAGCTTCACTTTCATCAGTTTTTCATCAGCCAATGCAAGCTGCTTCTATAACAATACGATTCTACAGATTAAGATTAAGACAAACCAACAACACACGTCAAAGTAAAAGACTTTAAAAGGACAGTTTTTAGTCCAAACTTCCTCACCCCTGCAAATGGCTGAGATGATGCCTTTGGGAGACATATCTCGACTTCCAAACCAAGCTCCCAGTTCCCCGAGCTTCACATCCCTCAGTGCTTTGGCAGCTATGGAAACTGGTCAGAGACAAGACAGCAAAAATTGTCAGTTTATTGTAGTAGCTCTGATTTTTCAAACATTGATTTCTGTAAAGTTATTTTCTATAATGTATTAAATCTACTTGAAGACTTTGTGGTGACACAACCTGCTTTTTTCTGGTTTCTGAACCAAACAAGAAAACCAAAGACTCTTGTTAATAAATTTGTAACAAATTGACGAACTATATATTCATACCAATAAGCTTCAACTTAAGTTCTTTTGTAGATTTAACTTGTTAATAGTTTGTTCTTATCAAAAAATATAAAGAAAATACTAGGATGACTATGTATAACTGAAGAAGATTATACATATTTAAAGTTAAAGAAAACAGTTAAAAAACAATGTTAACTTCTAAGAAAGGTATGAAAAAGAAATACTTAAAATGTTAACTGACTTATTTAGCAGCAGTTTGTCACAACCTCAACAACATATCCTCCATCATATAGGTTTGTACTCTAAACCATAAAGTCAGTTACTTCACGTCTCTAGTGTTGATGGCGTGGGGCCGTATATAATATTTAAGGATTTGTAGTCATTTTATTATACTTAGTTTATGACATCAATTTAAAACAAGAATACAATGTATAAGCATTTAGTTCGAAGCCTTTGAGTTGTATCTTATAACGGAGTAAATTTAGCAGAAGCTCAACTGGGTTTCGGTAAAGAGTCGTGTAGCAAACTACACTCTACAAAATGAACGTTACTTTATTGTAACAAAAGCAGTACAGTCTTCAGGTAAAACTACACACAAATGGTAATTGTGTTGTCATTTAGACGTTTTATGCACTAATACCAGCCAATGACACGCAAAGTCCTTGACGCGAGTCAAGGATTGAGAGCGGCCTTTGGTCACCGACAGCCGTTAAATGTGTTCACCGACACAGTCGAAGTTACAAAAACACGCACGCAAAATGGGCCAAACATTCACATTCAACCACAACAGACCCAAAACACAGGGTTTAAAGTGTTATTTTGACACTGAACGCGTTACTTTACCTTCTTTGCCGGCCATCTTGACTGGTACAAGGATGAGCTCGCCGCAGAGACTGATGGGAAACAAAAATGAAGAGGTGTATTATGGGAAACCGCGTGGTTTGGCTACAGTTGTTCGCTAGAGGGCAGCAAAGCCTACATGAATATACAGCTCTACCATCGCTGTTATTTCTGCTTAGTCCTCATAATTATACAGGTATAGTCGACAGCTTAGTCCTCATAATTATACAGGTATAATCGACAATTCCTACATATAATAAAATTAATTAATTAAATTAAATTAAATTAAATTAATTAAATTAAAAATAAATACTGTTAGTTGTTTTGTACATCCCTTAAAATCACCTGCTTTTTTTTTAGTAATACAACTGTTAATCCTTTCCAAATTTATTTTTCTTAACCACAGCAGCCCACCTTGTGAACAGCCATCCATATCGACAACATAATGCATGTAGATATGTAGTTAAGGAAGGTCTTATTCACTCCGGTGTTTGGGTTTGACAGTGAGTGGTGCTGTGGACATTCAGGTCCCAACTCTGCAACCGCACCAATCAATACACTCCTCTCTATCTGCACTCCATCTTACCAAGCTGTCCTTCTCAGGCTCACTTCACCCCCAACTCCTACTCTCTCTCTCTCTTTCTCACTCTCTCTCTCTCTCCCTAACTAATCCTTACCACGACCATAAACCTAATAGTACAGTAAGACATCAAACATTTGTCAAAACTGTCAAGACATCCATCCTTTCTATAGTTAGACATGTTTTAAACACACTGTGTTTGTCCTGCATTTCTGACAAGTCTGTACCAACGCCACGGAGTGACTGCCACACACACACACACACACATCAGCACAGGAAGGATGGAAGGATGATTTTATTCCACCTCAAGAGGCAGTTGCCCTGGAGGTCTGCCACAGAGACAGCTCTTTGTAGCTGATAGAGAGGGACGGAGCGAGGGGGAGAGAATGGTCAATGGAGTCAGGGAGGCAGGGAGGGAAGGCGGGAGGGAGGTGGTTTGTGTGAAGAATGGAAAGACACGTATAAAAGAGGAGCAAAAAGTGAAGAATACTGAAGTCACAAAAGGAGAAAGTGGCAAAGGGCAGACGACAAAGGATGAAGAAGAGAGAGGTAGAAGAAAGTGAACCCACGTCTTTGGACACAGCTCTATAACACACACACACACACACACACACACGACCTTTGCCCAGCCACTGACATCAGCACCGTGGCGTCGTTTATTCCATTCTGGTTCAGGATCCTATACTTTACTTTATTTTCTGCCAGAGAGACAAATTGAAATCAATATCATAATTCCCTCCCATGAGTATCTCACCCTCTGCCTCCTCCCCCTGCCATCATCGCTGTTACCCAGTCTTGTTATCATAACCCTTGATCCCTAACCCCAGTGACCCCATGTCGCCTCCTTCTCACCTCAGCTGTGGGTAACAGAGCGGCGGACAGACAGACACCAGACAGAGAGCTGGATGGACAACCTGGGGCTCACCAGCAGCTCTCCTGTTACTCCAATAATCACATTAGAGAAATGAGAATCACCGGGGGAGCTGTTACAGTGGAACAGCTCACTGGTCTGGTGATTGTCCCAGAGGGAACGACCGCAGCCACTAACTGTGTGTGGTTTTACTAAGTCGGGAGCAGGTTAAATAACCTGCTGCGCCAGGAAGAACAATTTCACATCTCAACATCTAACGTGATGAACTTTAATTCTTAATTTTCACGTCCAATCGGGTTTATAATTGGGGTCGAGGCTGCGGTTGTGTGAGAGAGGGAGAGAGAGAGAGAGAGAGAGAGAGAGAGAGATTACATTAGCTCAAACTCTCCACTGGGACGTTTTATCTATCATATAGATTAGAGCTTTAAACTCTAACTCTAACTCCACCATTAACAGTGAGACACACTCAAACATAGTGTCTGTTTATGACGTTCACAGCTGCAGCACGTCTTCATACTGACATGGAACCATTAAGAATGGGAAACCAATTATCTTTAAGGTAATTGGGTCATTGTAAAAACCCAAAAGTCCAACGGTTCAGTTCAGCTTAGATGACAACAAACTGGGACGACATCATGGACGTTATGGACCATGTGATCTTCCCATGTGAACGTGCACAGCTATTAAAGCTGCCACTGCTCTGTGATCATCCTTTACCTGCACAGGTCACATCAGGTGGAGGTGGAGCCGGTGTCGTCTCTGCAGATGCGTCTCTGTTTCTTAGTTTGTACTAAATAAGTCAGTCTGAGTCCCTGGAGCAACACTGCTCCTTCACTGCCCTCCTCCTCCTCCTCCTCCTCCTCTCCTCCTCCACTGGGACTTGTTATCTTCTGCAACGATAAAAGTCCATCGTTACTGCCCTGAAAAACTGCATTTCTGTGGAAAAGCATATTGACACGAGTCGTTACCTGAAGTCTGACTGAAGCAGCGTGTGTTAGGAACAACTGGAGCCGTTACTGCGAACATTCACTGTCCTTCAACTGTTCATCAGCAGCTGAGGCTCCGTCATAGGGATCAGCACCACAAATTCAATACCAACGCAACTTGTTTTCTTACTGACCAGTTCAGGGCCAGAACGAGGTGGGCTGCAGTGACGGGGGGGAGGAGGATGAAGTCAGCCGGACTGGTCAGTGCTGCAGTACTGACCAATATCACATCTGAGGACAGAAGAAGAGAAGTTTAAATACTTAAAAAATACAACAAGACACATACTAATACAAGGAGGAAACAAATGTTAAAGTGTTATAGACGGTCAGATCTTTGTTCATCCAGAAGTGAAAAAATTCAGCAGCACAGCAGCAAAAGTCAGAGGCAAAAACAGTAGCAATTAAATTAAATTTAAAATAGTCATCCTCACAAAACTAAATGTTTATTGATCATATGCTGCGGTGAAGACCATCTTCATCTGATTAAGTCTCAATCCCATTCAGAGACAGACCTGTCCAGGGTCTACAGCAGGGGTCAGCTCTGACGTCTAACAGTCACACAGCCACTGTACTTCACTGCTGCAGCCAATTTGTACAGGAGTGAGAACAAATCAAGTTCTTACAACGCACTCAAGGCACTGTTTTAGTTTTCACACTTTTCTTACATTCCAGCTGTGGACAAAGTGTGTGTGTGTCTGTGTGTGTGTGTCGAGTGCTTTTGTATTTTTACTGCTTTTCTGCCTTTTTGTCCCGCGAGGGTAAAAGACGGAGATGATACAGAGTGGGTATGAAAGAACAGAAGTGTGTGTGTGTGTGGATTTCCACTACAAAGAACCACAGATGGTGTTGTGAACGAGAAAGACGCCGCTCTGACTCTCTCTCTGTGTGTGTGTGTCTAAGACAGGGAGAAACCATAATGATGTTGAGCAGTGATTTTGTCACCGTGTTTTATCAAACGCTGCCGTAGAACGACAATAATTGTGTTTGTGTCAGGTTCAGAATGAAAGTGAGGAAGAGGAGAGAGGAGAAGAAGAAGAGACTCAGGAGACAAGTGAACGCAGCCAGACAAATGGGATTCTGCAACTCAACACAAAGCGCTTTCAAAGTCTAACGTCTTAATCCCAGAATGTGTCTTCTGTCAGATCACTTCAGTTCAGCCTCCAACCACAAACAGACGAATGGCTTCAGTCCCAGTGTTTTTGGCAGTTACAGCTGAAGAGGAGAAAAACTTAGTTACTGGATCCATTTAAACTGAGTCTGCACTGGCAGCTCTGCAGAAAGAACATCAGGGACACTATAGATCTACTGTACAGTGGCCTGTGGCCTGGCCGTACAGCAGGAAGGTCACTGGTTCGATCCCTGGTTTCCTCACGTGGTTCACAGATACGCAGGAATGGGCTGCTCGTTCATATCTAAACTGTTACAGCTGATGTTGGTCTCTACACATGGCAGCGCCCCCAGACATAACCTGTCAATCACTCATGAACCACACAGCCTCTGGTTCAAATCCCAGCCTTGGTTGTGAAGTGTTAAAGCTCCAGAAAACCTTCCCTCTCCCTGTGAGTACGTAGTTAAGTCTTGAACTGATTTATAAACACATTAAAACCAGAGTGTAATTCATTTTTTGTGTCGATCGTTGTGGGCGTTTATCTACAACGACAACAACAATCTTCCTTCTTCTGCACTTGTCTGGAAGTTGTCAGAACACAACAACAAACCTGTCCAGATTTCTCTGTGCCTGGAGCTCTTCATCGCAGCCAACTTTTCTTCAGCCTCGGAGGCGACTGTGCCGCCCAATATTCCCTCGACTTTCATCTGCGTCTGCCAAGAACTCTCCCATCCAATGGTGGATTCAGATTATGATGCAACTTCCTGTAAGCAAAACAGTTCTATTTTAGAACACGGTGACGACGTTAGCTGTGGACCCTGAGGTGGGAGTGAAGGGAAGGGGTTTTTTTAGGTGAGATCTGATTGGTTGAAGAGTCAGATCTGTCAGTGATGTCACCTCATGTGCCTACGTGGATGGTACAATATTTAGTTACAGAGTTCACTTTGACACCTACACCTGTCACCCCCGCCCTCCCTCTCTCTGTTTTACTCCCCTTTTTTCACGTGTTTTACTTTTATCCCACTACAAAACCCTGCTGCGACAAATCTTCACCAACGATGAACACTCTCTGCTCTTTGGCTACAGAAAACCCCGCAGTCTCTTACAGCTTCCTCTACACTTGTTCCTGTGTGAACCCTCTTTTTTTACCCTCTCTCCTCAGACTCTCCTGCAGCTACTCACCATCCTCCCCTTCATGTTCCCTCATTTCTGACAGTATGAACTCTACACCCACTCTTTCTTTTTTTCTTTTTTTATGAACCTCCTCCCTCTCCTCCCTCCTTCCCCATCCCATCTGCGTCCATCCCCAGATACCGCTGCTTTATATTCACACCTGTCTCCTTCTCCTTTTATCCCTCTTCTCCTTCACCTCCCTTTCGGATCCTTGCTTTTTCTACTTCCACACGCCCGTTTCTTGTGCTTCTCCCTGTCATTTTTAACCACGTAACAGAATCAATGTCCAGTCTCTGTGTGTCTGTTTTTCTCTTTTTTCTCAGATTAATTCCTTTTAACTAATTTATTTCTTCTTCTCTAATGTTTTTTGATAACCCCCCTCCCCCTCCCGACCCCCTCCACAGGTGAGCAGAGATGGTGATGGAGCAGTAGAACTATCAGTATGCAGAGTCATGGTGCTGTGGCTCTATCACCATTGATTGGAGCGGCAGCTAAATATAGACACTGTGGAGGTTCAGCATCTTTACCAGAGGGAGGGGGACAGAGGGGGGAGGTAGAGGGAGGTGTGCAACACACACACACACACGTATAGGCAGTAAGTCTGTGCCACAGATTTTTCAGTCAGACTCGGTTCAGTCCTGCAGGATATTAACTGGACGGAAATATAATTCCGTTAGACTGAAGGAGGCGTAACTGAGCTGACCTTTTTACACATTCATAAACGGAGAATAATATTTAGGATACACACACACACACATGCACACACACACACACCTAACACACACAGACACTGATTCTTCAGATTGCTGAAGGCTGAGACACCATGAAAAACCATTGATATTCAACACAGAACATAAAGTCAAAGATGCTTTACAGAGGCTGAGCAGAGACAGAGAGAGAGAGACAGAGAGAGAGAGACAGAGAGAGAGAGAGAGAGAGACAGAGAGAGAGACAGAGAGAGGGGGGCAGAGAGGGGGGACAGAGAGACAGAGAGAGAGAGAGAAAGAGAGGCGAGCGGCGGGCCGCGGGGCGGGGGGGGGGGGGGTAGCAGATAGACAAGAGAATACCTCCTGTGTCCAGAAGAGAAGTTTTTTGTTTTTTTTCAAATTATTCTCAGAAATATTTGTCAATCTAATTTAGTTTTTTTAATTTTGAATTTCTTTCCTTCAGTTTCACTATCCCTATGTTCTAGTAGGGCTCACAGCAGGTGGGATTTGAACCTGCAACCCTACAATGCAGCAGCAGCAGCAGCAGACCCTGAGTCTGACTGACCAATGGCAGCAGCACCAGCTCAGACGGTTGATGTGAATTGTCTTAAGAACTTAACTGTGCAGTACAAGAAAAGTACTACAGTATTAAACCTGCATTTGGAAGTTTTTAGACTCCGGTCCATGGCAGAATGATGACGAAATAGAAACTCCTCTTTATAGACACAGACAGTGACGATGTTACATACCATTTGGCTGTCATTCTGACCAAACATGGTCAGACACTGATCACACACAAACATGACAATGTTGCCCAATATTTGGCTCTGTCTACATGCTCAGCTTGACCCAATAAACATCTCAAAATATGGCAACAGCTTCTTCTTGTCAGTTCTTGGCGTTTCCTGTCATATGGCAACAGCTTCTTCTTGTCAGTTAACGTTTCCTGTTATTCTGGCCCTTACATGATGTTTTCTCTACCACACACACACACACTGGTCTTTGTGTTTTGTGAGTACTTCACATAGACAGAATACAGCCCCCCCCCACCAATACCTTGACCATCACTAACACAAATACATGTCTGACATTAACCCCCCTTCAGTACCCCAGCCCTAAACCCTCAAAAACACCCTCTCACTCAGAGGGTACCTGAAAACTGTCCCCACAATAATAGTATTTTAGGTTTCAAGTCCCCACAAGTACAGCTACACAACCACACACACACACATCTCCTACCCTCCATCCTCCCTCTCCCTTCCCCTACACACACACACACCTCAGCTCCTCGGTCCATCCTCACTCCCTCTGTTGCTGCTGATGCTGCTGCTGCTGCTGGTGCGTCAGGAGCGCATGAAGGCAGGACGGAGCCGGGGCTTCCCTTCTGTCTGATGGAGGAGACAGGCTGAGGACAGCGGGTCCAGGCGACAGGGAGGAGAACCAGCGACTCCTCGACAGAGACAGAGGAGCGGAGACAGACAAAGGTAAAGACACCGTTAATAACCTGTTGTTCGAGCCTTTCTGGTTCTGAGTGTTTGTTTCGCTGAAAGCGCATCGACTGCAAATAGAAAAAAAAAAAAAAACAATTAACAAAAAAACCGGAGAAATGTTTCCGAAAATAACCTGAGAGATGATTAATCTTAATTTGGATTATTTTGGGGGGATGATTTCAACAAATAATGTAAAAAAATGTACGTGACTGTACTACAGCCTGTATGTGGTATTGTTGTAGTATTGTTGTAGTATTCGTTCTCCACGTCGGTTTGTTCGGTGTTCTGCTGCTCATTTTAGTCCTTTGTAAGTAAACAATAGAAACTGCAGCGCGGCGATGGACTGTAAATCAATTACCGTCTCTGGGCTGGAGGACGGAGAGCGCCCCCTAACGTCTGAAAATACAAGGAGAGACTTCAGTGACTCTCTGCGCATTTCAATCACTGAGAAACTAGAGACGCGACCGCACGACGGTGAAACATTTTTTTATTATGTCCTGTCTCCTGTCCAGACTGTGTCCGGGGGCTGGTTCGAGGCCCGCCTGCGGTACAGTATCGTGTTGTTGTCGTTGTGGTGTAGACAACAGCCACAGGTCTGAGCGGTGTTGGTGTAGTAGACAAACACGGGACGTGTGTGTGTGTGTTTACATACAGTGTCAGCCTCCGTTAATGTTGATTCAGCTGGTCTCAGTGATATTTACCTCAGCAGGCAACAGTTGACTGGAGTCAGTGATGGAGGAAGAAACTGAAATGTGATTTAAAAAAGAAAAATACTGCTGTTTAACTGTGAAACCACCACCTGACATTGGTCCTGAACATTTATTTTTGTTTTTGTTTAAATTTTCTTGGCCAGAACCACTAGATGATAATTGGTTAAAGATTGTGACAACTGACCTAAAACACCATGTCATGTGACAATATCAACAGGCTCTTATTGGAAGCTCCAGCTGTCAATCATAGCGTGGTTAATCACCACCATCTGAACTCACTGATTTGTCAAATATTTCTGTAAATGGATCGACCTGAGAGTTAGGATTTCAGAAAAATGTTTGCTGTAAATATTAGTGAGGGGAAAATATTTAAAATTCTATAAAATTCTATAACAGAGCGAATACTATGTTGATATATCCTGTGCATCTTCAACATTTCATGTTTTAACCCAGAGCGTCTGCTGACATATAAAATAAAAAAGTTTAGTCTATGAATTATTGCGGTGACTTGTGAAATTTAAATTATTCTCGTTGTAACTTTCAAACAATTAAAAACCCGTTCTGCTGAGGGGCCTCGGAGAAAACCAGATGCACAAAGTCTCAGTGTTGTTCTGCAGACCAAGCAGGTGATGAATTGTTAATCACAGTCACTGCCTGGTGATGGATGAAGTGTTTTCTCCTGTCAGCGGTTTGTGTTTTCATGACAAACCTTTATCTCTATCGTCCTCGTATGGTTGAGTTTTGTTGATTTCAAGAAAAAAGTCAATTTCACACTGTAGTTGTTGAACTGTGACAATGGTTGAACTAATTGAATAAACAACAAATGAATCCTAATGAATGTAATCTCACCTGGGGCCTGTTGGATTAATGGAGGTGGTTCTGAAGGATGTTGGTTTTCCTGCAACGTTAGATACAAAATGTGAATGAATCAGTGGAGGTTGGATGTTCTGTGTTGGATGATTCAGTCGGTGGACTTTTGGTCAGTCGGTGAATAATCTCATCTGAACGATGTTGTTTTTCTACAGTGATGTGAAGCAGCGTCTGCTCTCTGCGCTCCTCCCACCTCGGCGTTTCTCTCATTTCAGATGCCTCTCACACAGTCCCACACCAACAGTCATTTATTTTTCTGTGATGTCTCCAACTGTGACTTCACCTTCAGCTGGAGAACGTGGTCCCAGCTGATTTATATTTGTTCTTAATTTCCTAAAAATAAATCTCCCTCCTGTCTCTTTTCCCTGTTGTTTCTCCGGCAGAGTCTCCATCGTCCAGCCTCGTCCAGTCTGTCGTTCACTTCTCTCTGATCGTGTCAAACATGCAAACGTCCAACAGTGTGTAGTTTGTAGAGTGTGTGTGTGTGTGTCTACCTGAGGTGAAGAGATGGGATCGGTGGGAGCAGAGAGGCGCAGACCCACTCCTGTCCAGACTCCTGAAGAGAGGGATGTTTGGCGGGATGGAGGACGAGCAGGATGGAGGGATGCTGGGAGGGAGGGATGGAGAGAGGGGCGAGAGAGCGGCGTGGTGCAGAGCTACAGCTTCGACTCGTACCAGCTGGAGGAGGAGGAGATCAATAAAGACGCCCCAGAGCGAGGTGTCCTGGCTCTGTCCGAACCTGGTGAGTGTGTGTACAGATAATCTGAGTACAGGCTGCTGTGTGTGTGTGTGTGTGTGTGTGTTCACTAACCTTTCAAAAAGGAGAAAAAAAACAACAGCTGCGATGAAAGAACAGATGTTACAGATGTCAACAACAATCAAAGTTAAAAAACAATAGAAAACTCTTCTCTGACAACAATCAAAGTTAAAAAACAAAAGATGAAAACTCTTCTCTAAGAGAAAACTGTGAGAGAGAGACTATTAGAAGACACTGATCTCTCTCTCTCTCTCTCTGCGTCTCAGTTAACACAATGTCATATTTCAAACACATTCCCAGTTTGTAGTCTGTGTATAATTTAATGTAGATGAATTCTTTGCTTTTTAATCAAGACAATGCCAAAGAGTTTGACTGTAACTAATTATTTCTGGTCCTATTTTAATGACACATTTTTAATCGTCTAAATTTAGGCGTTGATTTTAGCAAACAGTTTTATTTTTAAGGCTTAGTGAGTCTAAAGATGTAATTGGTTCCATTATAAAATCTTAGTTTGAATCATCACTTTGCCAGTAGGAGGCTATTAATAAATACACACACTTCAGTAAGGAATGGAAGAGGCTCTGTCGTGGTTCGGGGTTGTATTTCAGCCAGTTGTATTTGACAAGTATTAATAAATACACACACTTCAGTAAGTAATGGAAGAGGCTCTGTCGTGGTTCAGGGTTGTATTTCAGCCAGTTGTTACCTTGTGAAATAGTGGCCAGTGGGGTATAATTTTTATTATGTTTTTCTGTTATTTAAACCATTTCCAATAGTTAACCAGAATATTTGGCCCTTTCTTTTATGTGGCTCAGGATAAAAATAAGTTAAAGAGTTAAAAATAAGAGTAGTCAGAATAAATAAGTACATGAAACGCAGCAGGTCTGTTCAGAGAAAATTGCTGCGTTGCCTGGTAACACAGGTTGCTCAAAGGGCACGTTAATCACATCAGATGTGACCACGGCAACACAGCAAGTTCCCTGAACTCTCTGCTCCTCCATGTTGCTTCATCGTCGTCAAAGCTCAGTCGGCAGCACATAGAAACAGATGCAACGACATCAACGTGTCAGTTTGGAAAATAAAAGATCTTTTCATCCAGAAAGGCCTCAAGCTGAGAGCGAAGGATTTCTAGTCTGTAGGATATTGCATTTTTATGTAGTAAAAAAACATTCTGAAACATGAGCCTTCTTCAGTCAAAACAAAATGACATTTCCTTGGATTATTTTATCAAAATTATAAATTAAAATAGATTAGATTAGAGTCGAATCTAAGGTGTGTTATTCCTAATCTGTTGAAGTGAACGTTTTGTCTTTTTTGGTCTAAATGATTCAGTCACCCAGAGAAAAAAAAAGTAATTCTTAAAAAAAGAAAGAAAACTCCCACAGCAAGAGATTAGCAAGACATAAAAAGCTGCAATAATTAGAATAATTTTGATGAAGCTAAATATTAGCCTGAAACAGCTAAAGGTAAGAAAAAAAAATGCTTACGTTTATAAAGATTTGAACAGATATTTAAAACCTGACCCAGAAATACTACACTGAAATTTGATCAGTGGTTAAAGCCCCCAGAAGAGGTTGTTTTTTTTTGTTTGTTTTTCTGTGAAGATGTTAAAGGCAGTTAACATCAGGTCATTGTCTGGTTCTGACCCCGGGGCCATGTGTTTGTCTAACTGTGACCTTTAAGTAGATAATAACCTGTTCTTTTCCTGCTCTGGGTGAATCAAATCAACTGCTGCACCGACCGACCTCTGTTTCCTCAACAAACAGACTAATGTGTCCCTGAATGAAACCACGGACAGTAACTCCAGTGGTCAGTGTCCAACTTCAACCCAATGATTCATCAACACGTTCTCTGTAACAGCAGTGGACTTCCTCCTGCTGCTGCTGCTGCTGCTGCTGCAGACACATCCATCCTGATTAGCCGTGAGGAGGACGCAGCCCGTTGGCTTCAGACCTGCTTCAAACGTTTTGAAGTCATTTTTCTCCGAGTGCTTGAACATGATTTCCTGCTTCTTTAATTTTCCATCCCTGCTCTCTATCATCCCCCCTCCCTCCTACCCCCCCTACCCCCCC